GCGACCTCCTCACTCTGGAGATGCCCCCCAATTCTCCACATCCCCCTCCCTCCTCAGACTCCTCCTCCATCCTCCCTCTTTCATCTCTTGCCAATCCCCTCCTCCTGCGAATTCTCTACTAATCCCACCAGCCCTCTGGGCGTTGAGTGATTCAGGGCGGTTCCTCTTCTAACTTTCCGCTTCCATTCGGGGAGGGGTTCATTACTGTTCCTATCATCATATCCCGACCGACGACAAACCCAAAACCATGCCGACCGTTCCCGCTGCCCCTGTCCAAAACACTGCAAAAGTACACTTTGCGCCAAAATCTGGAGCATGCGCGGACGACAAACGACCACTTTGCAGTGGTCTTTGATAGGAACGGCGGGGGGGCCTGCAGATTGCCTGCTGTGTGCAATGCCAGCACCACCAGGCCATCCCTTGCAAACAAAAGCTGTACAAAGTGCACTTTGCACCAACTTCTGGAGCATGCCCGGACGCCCAGCGATCACTTTGCAGTGGTTTTCGACAGGGACAGCGGGCGGCTGACGTACTGCCTGCTGTGCGCAATGCCAGCACACCCCAACCATCCCTCGCAGAAAGTCCGCCAACCCTGTCGTCGTGTGTGAGGCAATTTTTCGTTTGGGTCGTCGTCGTCGTCGTCGTCGTCGTCGCCGTCGTCGCCGTCGCTGCTCCCCCACTTTCCCTGGGCCCTCCTCCTCGAGCGATGCAGCCAAACGGAAATCAGACGTCGTAATATATATATATATATGTATATATAAATATATAAATATATATATATATATACATATATATATATATATATATTCGAAGGGAAACCTTGATCCCTTCTCTGCCGGGACGGGGTCCCGGGGCGGGTCCCGGGGGAGGCCTGGAGGTGTCCCAGGAGGGGTCCCGGGTTTGGGATCCCTGGGGTCGTGAGCCCCCCGTCAGGGGGGGTCCCCCTGCCGGAAGGGAAGCAGGGGGGTGGATTCCCCGTGGGCAGGGGAGCTAAGAGCTAAGGACCCCTCTCCCGGCCTCCCCCCTGTGGACAAGGGGACCACCACCACCCCCCTTACCTCTCGGATTCCCCCCCCCCCCGGATCCGCTCCGAGGCGGCTCCAAGTGACCACGGAGCTTCCCGAGAAGTCCCCCAAGAGGTACCCCAAAAGGTCCCAAGAGGGTCCCCAGAGAACCCCACAGCGGGCTCCAGAGCGTCAGCGTCGTCGTCGTCGTCGTCGTCGCCGCCGCCGCCGCCGCCGCCGTCGTCGTCATCGTCGTCGTCGTCGTCGTCGGCGTCGTCCCCCTTCAGGGTCGGCGGCACTGGCCGCAAGGCCTTCCCGCAATTATCAAGTGCACGTTGCACCGAGGTCTGGATCGTGCGCGGGCGCCGCGCAAACACTTTGCACTAGTTTTCACAGGGACGGTGGGGGGCCGGCATATGGCCTGCTGTGTGCAGGCCCAACATCCGTTTCGATGAACTTTACAAAATCCACTGGTTTGGACGCCCGAAATGGGTACGGAAAAAATGGGTACAATGCCCAACAACAAATGTTGTCCCAAACCAACAGCGGCCGCTGTTGGGCAGGCGGCCTTCTCTCAAATGTACACCGGCCGCGGCGGCACCGACAGCGAGTCCTGTTCAAAATGAACAAGAACTGCTGTTGGGCATTGTACCCACTCTTTCCGTAGCCATTTCGTTCGTGCCGAACTTCAGCCAGGGGCGGTGAGGGGGCAGCATGCTGCCTGCTGTGTGCAGGCCGACTGCCCCGGTCAGAAACAAGGGTAGTGATTGCGGGTGCATACAGCCACACACACACACACACAGAGTACACAGTGCTTGCCAACCCGCCGTCGCTTTGCGCTGGTTTTTGGCAGGGATGATGGGGCGGTCGACCTATTGCCCAATGTGGCGCACCTGGTGCGCGTGGCTCACCTGGCGCGTGCGGCCCGCCTCGCCGGCATCGCGCACAGCGCGTGGCTGGCGTCTGCTTTGGTTCCCGATGGTTGACGCTGGCGGCCCATGCCTGTGCTGAGACTCGGGTGCCCCGCGAGGTGACAGGGGGTGTTGTTTGGCCCAAGATGGTTCCAAGAGGGCCTCGGAGAGATCAAGGTGATCGCCAAGATGGCTCAAGCTCCAAGAAGGCCCAAGAGGCCCGCAAGACCACCCCAGCACGGCCCAAGACGGCCTAAGAATGCCCCAAGACGGCCCAAGAGGCGCCTAAGACAGCCCAAGATGGCCCCAAGACGGCCCCAAAAGGAGCCCAAGAGAGGAAGCACGAACCGAAAATCCGAGCCTTCTGCCCCAAGAGGCCCCACAGGAGGCCCCAAGAGGCCCCCCAAGAGGCCACAAAGAGGCCCCCAAGAGGCCCAGAAGAGGCTCCAAAACGACCCCCAAGAGGCCTCCGAACTGCCTCCGAGAGACGCCCGAGAGGCCTCCCACGAGATCCCAACGAACATCCAATAGGCTCCATACCCACACCCAAGCACGGCAGCGGGATGGGCCGAAGGCCATGCAATAGAACCGCCACATAATCATACACCTTCGGAACCTGAAAAATCGTACCGCAATCGTGAATCTCTTCTTCAGTGCCGCTCCCTATGGGGCCACGAACCCTGTGAGAGGTGTGCCGAAATGGGTGCGGCGGGCGCATGCGGACGGTCGCACTGGGGCCTTCGGTGGAGCTCCCTATGGGGCCACGAGACGTGTGAGGGATGTGCGAAATGGGTGTGGTGGAAGCATGCGGGCGGTGGCACGGGGGTCGTCGGTGGAGCTCCCTATGGGCCACGAAACGTGTAAGGGGTGTGCCGACATGGGTGTGGGCCGTCGGTGGAGCTCCCCATGGGGCCACGAGACGTGTGAGGGATGTGCCAACATGGGTGTGGGGGACGCATGTGGACGGTGGCACTGGGGCCTTCGGTGGAGCTCCCCATGGGGCCACGAGACGTGTGAGGGATGTGCCAGCATGGGTGCGGGGGACGCATGTGGACGGTGGCACTGGGGCCTTCTGTGGAGCTCCCATGGGGCCACGAGACGTGTAAGGAGTGTGCCAGCATGGGTGTGGGGGACGCATGTGGACGGTGGCACTGGGGCCTTCGGTGGAGCTCCCTATGGGGCCGCAAAACGTGTGAGAGGTGTGCCGAAATGAGTGCGGGGGACGCATGTGGACGGTGGCACTGGGGCCTTCGGTGGAGCTCCCTATGGGGCTGCAAAACGTGTGAGAGGTGTGCCGAAATGGGTGCGGGGGACGCATGTGGACGGTGGCACTGGGGCCGTCGGTGGAGCTCCGCATGGAGCCACGAAACGTGCGAGGAGTGTACCGACATGGGTGTGGGGGACGCATGTGGACGGTCGCACCGGGGCCTTCGGTGGAGCTCCCTATGGGGCCACGAGACGTGTGAGGAGTGTACCGACATGGGTGTGGTGGACGCATGTGGACGGCGGCACTGGGGCCTTCGCTTGAGCTCACGATGGGGCCACGAAACGTGTAAGAGGTATGCCGAAATGGGTGTGGATGATGGTGACGATAACGGCGATGATGATTGCGATGGTGATGCTGATGATGGCGATGATGACGATGATGCTGATGATGCTGATGATGCTGCTGCTGATGATGCTGCTGCTGCTGATGATGATGATGATGCTGGTGATGCGAAGAGGGAGGAGGGGGAGCAGGAGAGGAGACGCGGGGTGCTGCCTCTTCAAAACGAGGAACCATCACCACAGGATGAGTGAGAAGTTACCCCATTGCGACCCTACCTAGGAGTTGGAGCCCCTAGGAAAGCAGCATTAGTAGTAACGATAAGCGCCGTCCTCCTCCTTCTCCTCATCGTCGTAGTTGCCTTTTGCTTTTGCTTGGTTTTGCTTTTGCTTGGTTGTGCTTTTGCTTTGCCTTCGCACACACACACACACACGCGCATGTTGTTGCATTCGCTCACCCGGTGGGCTCTCTGATCGTACTGTTGCACATTGTTTTTGCTTTGCCGTTCCTTTGCTGTTGCTGCTGTTGCTTTGCCTTTGCTTTGCTGCTATGCTATGCTATGATATGCTATGCTATGCTATGATATGCGATGCTGCACTATGCTATGCTATGCTATGCTATGCTATGCTATGCTATGCTATGCTATGCTATGCTATGCTATGCTATGCTGCGCTATGCTATGCTACGCTAGGCTGCGCTGTGTTATGCTAGGCTATGGTATGCTATGATATGCTGCGCTATGCGATGATGTGCTATGCTGCGCTATATTATGCGATGATATGCTATGCTATGCTATGCTATGCTGCGCTATGCTATGCTATGCTGGGTTATGCTATGACATGCTAAGCTAAGCTAAGCTACAGCTACAGCTAAGCGAAGCTAAGATGAAGCTAAGCTGAGCTAAGCTAAGCTAAGATGAGATACGCAAAGCTAAGGTAAAGGGGGCGCAACTGGGGGAACCGCGGGGCGGGGACCGGGGCACCCCCCCGGGGCGGAGCCCACTGCCCGGCCCCTTTAAGCCCAGCGAGTAAGAACCCTCTAGGCAGAGCCTACGTAGGGAAAAAACATGCGAAAATATCAAACCACTGCACAAACACTGAAACACTGCGCGGATTGCTTGAATCTGCGCCGCCCCTCCTCCCCTCGGCGCGTGGAGCGCGCCAGGGGCAGCGCCAGAGACGCCGCCGAGGGGCGGCCGGCGCCGATCCAAGACACCCGCCCGGAGCTCCGAAGATTGTCCTCCCTCGTGCTCCTCCTCCCTCCCTCGTGCTCCTCCTCCCTCCCTCGTGCTCCTCCTCCCTCCTCCCTCCGCCTCCTGCCAATCGTGCCGCAGCTCGGGAAGGGCGCCGTAGGCGCGTCGCCCCTTGGTCAGGCAAAAAAATGGCATTCCGTTTCTAGCGGCTCTTTGTTGCCCTGGGAAGCCCTGAGGTTTTTCACACTAGCCGCCAGAGCTGAGCACGCCTTCGCGACACAGCTACCGCCCGCCGCCGCCGCCGTCTCCGCTGAAGTCTGACGCTGCGAACGAAAGTCAGCACCGCGAGGAGTCGCGACGGGAGACCTGGAACCCATCGGTCTGCGGCGGGCTTCGAGCCCGATCGGTCTGGGATGGCCCTGGGGTTCCTCTCCCCGCCAAGCGCCGCCGCCCGACGCCGCCACCGCCTCCCTCGGGCGCGGCCTGAACCGACCCCTCGCAAACCATCCCCGTCCGTGCCGCCAGCCTCGCCTCTCAAAGCTTCCCTCCGGCCGGACACGTGCCTCACTGCGGCGAGGCGAGAGGTGCGTCACGAGAGGGGATGGCCTGCTGTGAAGTCGGGCGTGTCCCCCTACAGGGGGACTTTCGACGAAAAATACAAAATACTCTAAATATAATCAAAAAAAATAATCAAAAGATAGTCTGGGACTATCTTTTAATTGTTTTTTACCTTTTTGGTGTGTTTGTGGGGCATTTCTTATTTTTCTACGAAAATCCCCCTGTAGGGGGACAGGCCCGACTTAAGCTTACTGGGGGTCGGCGAGGCCGCCCCGGACTCCCTCCGCCCTCTTTGCGCAGCAGGGGGCCCGCCTGCATGCGGGGGGCCGCCATCTGCCTGGAGATCGCCGCCGTGGCGATCGCCGCCGAGGACGCGGAGTCCGCCTCCCGGAGGCCGTCGCCGGGAGGCGCCGGCCGGCGACGTCCGTCGTCGGGCGTCGGGGGTCGTCGTGAAGATTCTCGTCGTGGTCGGGCGCCGTCGTCGACGAAAGCGTCGTGTGCCGTGCGTCGCGCGTCGCGTGTCGTGTCGTGTGTCGCGTGCCGTGTGCCGTGTGCCGTGTGTCGTCGCCGCCGTCGCCGCCGTCGTCATCGCCGCCGTCGCCCCCGTCGTCGTCGTCGTCGTCGTAGTCGCCGCCGTCGTCGGCGTCGGCGTCGTCGTCGGCGGCGTCGGCGTCGTCGTCGCCGTCGTCGTCGACGTTCTCGCCGTCCGCTGTCGTCGTCGTCGTCGTCGTCGTCGTCGTCGTCGTCGTCGTCGTCGTTTCGTCATCGTCGTCGTCGTCGTCGCCGTGGTGGTGGTCGTCGTCGTCGTCGGTGGCGATCATTGGCGACGGCGTTCGTCGGCGTCAAGATGTCGGTGTCGGCGGCGTCGTTCGACGCCGCCGTCGTCGCGGGATTCGGTCGCCGCCGCCGCGCGCCGTGGGCGTGCGTCGTCGTCGGGTGGCGCGTCGGGCATCGTCGTCGGACAGCGTCGTCTGAGGTCGCAGGACGCCGTCGCCGCACGTCGCCGCCGTCGTGGGACGCTTCCTTCGCCGTCGACCTCCTCCTCCGGGGCCCTCGATGCCCCTCCAGGAAGACCCCCTCCCCCTCGACCACCAGGAGCAGCCTGCGCGCCGACGCACACCCACCCCGTCGGACTCGCAGGCGCGACGCAACCGACCAACCCCCCGGGAGCACGCGCAGCACCCGGCGAACGCCAGGCGCGCGCGGCTCCCGGTCGGAGCGTATATGGCGGAGCGCCAGGCGGAGGAGGAGCTCGCCCATCCCCGAGCCGCGAGGCGCGCGGCCACGGGAGCGGAGGCGCGGCCGCCGCGCGGCGGGCGCGCTGCCGTGGCCGCGGCTCTTGCTGCGGCTGCCGTTCCCTGGGAGATGGTGCTCGCTCAGCGGCGGTCCCACCGCGACGAAGGGGGCCCTGAGCCAGGGGGGGCGGGCCGCGCCCGTGGGCCAGCGCAGTCGCCACCCACGGCGCGGCGCCCACCCCCTGGCACTGTCACCTGGGTGCCCACTGCCCCCGAGGGGGAGGGGGAGGAGGAGGGGGGGGAGGAGGAGGAGGAGGAGGAGGAGGAGGAGGAGGGAGGAGGAGGAGGAGGAGGAGGAGGGAGGAGGAGAGGAGGAGGAGAGAGAGAGGGAGGAGGAGGAGGAGGAGGAGGAGGAGGAGGTGGAGAGGAGGGGGGGAGGAGGAGGAGGAGGCAGAGTCAGAGGAGGTGGAGGAGCAGGAGGAGGATGAGCACCGGCGCCGCCGACTGGCGGCAAAGACTGACCACCTGACCACCTGCGCGGATCGCGCAGGCGGAGAGGGCGCGGGGGGCGGCCCTCGGCCCCCGGAGGCCTCGGCCTGCCAAGGGTCAGGGGGGGAGAAAAAACACACAGACACAATGAGTCGTCGATTCCCAGGAAAATATGGGAAGAGATGGGAAGTGGGGGGGAAGACCAAAGCACAGAAAAAAGGAGAAAAGATGGGGAATCGTTTTATTTGTGTGCACTTATTTATTTGTGTGTCCCAGGGCCCCTTCCAAGGGGGAGGGGGCCGAGGGGGGCGGCGCAGGGCGGCTCTGGGCCCGGAGGCCTCCGTCGGCGGAGCAGGGCGGCACTGGCCCGGAGATTTACCAGCCTGGAACCGTATCCCCATCCCTATGCCAATCTGAGGCACCTCCTCATCACGATGCCAATCTCAGGGATTCCATTTATCTTTTGAGGGCGCGTCCCCAAGATTGTCATCGCCCTTTGGGCGTGGCAATCTTAGGGACAGGGATGAGTTCGAGACTGGTAAGCAGAGGGGCGGCTCCAACACCT